ACATGTTCACCTGGATCGGGATACTATCTTAGGGTATATTTCTCCAGTTAAGGCGGTGTCTGAAAAAACGATTAGCGCCGTCAACGATGATCATCAGTCTTTTAAAAAAAAGGGAGATGAATTGAACAAGGCGATGAAGAAAGCGTTTACGTATACCACATTCTCGCCCCAACAATGCCCTCAAGTTCTCGATTTATGGGCCCGTTACAGGAATGTGTTTTCCCTATCGCCGAAAGAACTGGGGAAATNGCCCGTTACAGGAATGTGTTTTCCCTATCGCCGAAAGAACTGGGGAAATGCACCTTGACCGAGGCAGAGTTTCCGCTCGAGCCCGGTACAAAACCAGTTGATCGGGCACCGTACCGTGCAAACCCACGAGCACAAGAAGTGATCGATAAATGTACAGCACAAATGGAAGCTGATGATATCATTGAACAGCGACCGAGTTTTTGGGGATCGGCGGTTTCTATTGTAGCAAAAAAAGCCGACGGAACCCCTCGATTCTGTGTGGATTATCGCGGTACCATTAATGAGAGTTTAATCCGAAAGTCGTGGCCTATGCCCGATATTAATGCCCAGATACAGTAGGTGGAGCAAAGTTTATCACTGTGTGTGACGTGCAGAGCGCGTACCACCAGATACCGGTTGCAGCAGCGGAGCAAGAGAAGACCGCCTTTGTAACTCAAAAAGGAAAATGGGTTTTCAAACGTCTCCCTTTTGGAATTAATTGCGAACGCCCCGTTTTTATTTGCTCGCATGATGTCATTAGCATTTATTTGCACATTTCGGACCCCGAAGTGACCTCCTTGTTTATATGGACGACATCATTTGCTGTAGTTCGACTTGGGAAAGTCATCTAACATTGTTAGGCAATACATTTCAAGCCCTTCAAGCCGCAGGGCTCACATTAAAACCTTCCAAGGTACAATTCGGGCCAAGGGAAGAAAAAATTTAGGTCACATTTTGTCTGCGAAAGGGATTCGAATCGGAGACGACCGCATTAAAGCTATATTTATTTATTTATTTATTTTTGCCTTCCGACAATTATTGCAGATATACCTCAGAAAACGTTCACTTAATGTCTCATACTCTACATGAATATTAAACCGATACGAAGTACAACAACATATATATATATATGTAGGACTTATTTCTACTGTCATTTACATCGTAAAAGTATCTCCTCTTCAACTTGAAATAAAACCAATGACAATCCTGATGGTATCCTATATTAATATGCGTTCGTAAGCTTCCTAAAATACTACTGCGTTGATGTCCGCTTGTAAAAGCTGGAATCCAACAAATGCTTTGATCCATGCTACATCTCCGTGTTGGAAAAGCCCTTTCATCTCCGTTCATGATAACATCTTACCCTATTCTACGCAAATCTGTCACATCTACTCTCAAACAAGACGCCAACTTCAAACGAAAACGCGTTCTACGATGCGTCTACACTCAAACTCCATCCCCATATCATTGGCGTTGACTGGTCCGAGGTCGATCTTGTTCGCCTGTTTTCGGCGTCTTGACGCCNTGACAGTCAAACGACTGCTCACGGAAGCACCTATTTTACACTTCCCGATTTTACAAAAGACTTCGTCGCGCACGTGGATGCCAGCGAAGCAGGTGCTGGAGCTTTCCTCGCGCAGCAAACAGGAGGAAATGACCTCAACATTATTGCGTATTTCAGCCAACGATTCAACAACGCTCAGCGTTACTATTCCCCAACCATGAAAGAATGGTACGCCGTCGTACTAGCAATCAATACAGCACTGGCGGCCCTATTTATGGGGCAGACATTTTGAAGTTGTGACGGACCATGCTGCGTTGAGATACTTGTACACCATGCAGGACACTTCAAATATGCTGACTAGGTGGGCTATCGCTCTGCAGTCGTTTGACTTTACCGTGCGACACAAGCCGGGGAGGTTACACGTTGTTCCGGACACCTTATCTCGGTTGTTTGCTTTTGAGTACCAGCAACACTTAGAAGCCCCGAAACTAACACCGATTTGTAGGAATGTCCCCAAGGATCCTGCTTTGCATGTAGCTGTACCGAACAGACCTTATCAAGTGGCCGCAGACCGCCTGGAAGATTTAAAACCGGTGCAAGGTAATCGCGAATTAATTGTTTACCATTAACTCGGTTTACATCAGCGCGACCCACGTTTTTGAAACGATGAACCGAGACATCTTGAAAAAAAAACAAGCAGCCGAGTATGGGAAATACATCGACTATCTTGTGGGGGAAAACGCACGAGTCCCGGACAACGAAACAGCAACAACCATGTCCTATTATTTTGTACGAGACGGATTGCTGTTCAAATCGTATTTACCAGGTTACCTCAGGAAACGGAGTACTTTCACTGATCAATTAGTATTGCCGCAAGCTCTCACGGGCTTAGTTTTGCACGGTTACCATGATCACGTTTTGTCCGGAGGTCACCTAGCATCCAGACCGACTTATGACAAGATCCGCCAGAAATATTGGTGGCCGAACATGAGTCGTGACGTTCGCACTTGGTGTCAGGAGTACCAAGCATGCCAACGTCGAAAAACCGCGCACAATCGCACCAAATTGCCAACTGGACACGTATGGTCCATCCAACACAATTTGTCCGAAGTTCAGTCCTGCATTTAGGTGCACTTTTCTCTGCACACAGGTGGTTGTTCCGAAATCCCAAAGTACCGGCAAACGCCCTGTTTCCAGGCGCATCGATCTACGGAAAGCAATTTTCATTTTTTGTTCCGCTTCTTCGTTATTTCCAAATATCCCGAATTATTGGCTTGGTTTTTCCTGGGGTGTGTTATTCTCAGAGCACAATTCTGAGATCGGATTTCGATAGCTAGCTCTCGAAAATCCCCAGGTGGGTTTTTTTTCTGATTTCGATTTGAGGGAAAAAAAAATAAGTTATTTATGGACGAAAAACTAGATCTGGGGTCCCATTCGGCTTGGTTTTTCCTGCGATATTCAACCGTAAGATTTTAAAATAGACCGCGGCAGTCGATTCCTCTCGAAAATCCCCAGGTGAGTTTTTTTTCGATTGTCGAAAAAAACTCCCGTTCGCGAGATATTTGTATTTTTGTTTGGCCGCCCAGCAAGCGGGGAGGAGTTTTCCCCCGTGGCTACGCGAGCCCCACCCAGCTTGTGCGCAAGGCGCAACCCACCCCCACACGCTCTGCAACGGTGCTCAGCACCCAAATTCGTCATGGGTCGGCGGAATAAGCGCCGCCGCACACCTCAAAGGGGAAGCGGCGGCAAATTCCAGCGCCGTGAGTGCTCTGCGTCAGCTGCCGATCCACCAACCCCCGATGACAGCACCCGCCTCTCTACCATGGAAGTCGATGACGACCAAGACCGCGACGAGGACTATCGCGACGAGAGCACTGGTGCCTCCTCAGGTAGTGGACAGGCCACGCTGTCTTTCGTAGGGTCTGCTGATGCATGCGTCATGTCCGCAGCAGTTCGAACGGCAGAGACTGCTGTGTGTCCAGAGCAGAGGTTGGGCCGCCTCGGAGTGCGGCGCAACCTCACCGCTCGACAATCGCCCGGCGCACATTCAGATGTATAGGTTAAAGTGTTGGGGCTAGGGGGGTATAGGGGGTTCCGCGACATTATATGATGAGGGTATGGGGGGTTAGGGGGCACCGTGGATTATTTTGGGCCGAAAATGTCGCAGAACACCCGAATTAAAAAAACTCACCGGATATCGACCCAACTCGACGCCGCCGTCACGGCCAAAGTGGTTTCAAGTTTCCATTCGGTTTTTTTCGAAAGTTATATCGCACAAACCAAACCGTCATTGATTGGACAAATTGTCTTGGATGGACCATACCAGTACAACGACCGTTTGAGCGAGTTTCAGTGGACTTAGTTGAATACAAGAGCGAATCGATGTCAGCCGCCGGCGTACGATGCAAATATGTCCTATCCATGATGGACCATCTAACTAACTAACCCGATTCACCGTGTTGACTCCGATTCCGAATAAATCATCAGCTAGCTGTCACAGTTGCTCAGGCTATCATTGACCGCATCATAGGCATTTTTGGACCGCCTGAGATGTTGCATTCTGATCAAGGGCCTGAATTTGAGAATAGTGTGATCCACCAGTTACAGAGTACTCTGAACTACAAGAAAACCCGCACAACACCATATCGTCCGCAAGGGAATTCTGTGTCGGAACGACTAAATTCATTCATCGATGCACGCAATGCTTGCCATGCATAGTTCAATGAAGCGTGATAACTGGGCATCGCTACTACCTTTCATGCAACTGGCGCATAACACTTCTTTTAGTGCTACCACCATACATGAAACTCCATTTTTCCTCATGTTTGGCAGACAACCACGACTACCTGTCGATATCATTCTCGGTATTCCTCATGTAGGAACAACAGCCAATACCGAAGAACTTGCGAAAGACACGCAGGAAAATTTACAAATTGCTTTCGAATTAGCGCGCCGAAACTTAGCGGAACGTACAACAAAGCAAGCGACGAGTAATAATTCAAAACTTAAACCGATTCCCGTGTTTAAACCTGGCGATCAAGTACTGGTATACAGACCANAAACTCGAGAAGTTTCGGTTCACCTAGCCCATATTAAACGATATTTTGCGAGGAAAACACCGCCTGCGCCCGACTTTGATAAACTCGCTGAGTTCTTTTTAGGGCGACAGATTCCGTTACCCGCTATCGATCACCCTGATGAGGCCCAACCAAGAATTGAGTCTTATGTTGTAGACAAAATGGTAAGCCACAAAAAAAGTGGTCGGGGTCCGAGGGCTCCTTTTAATTACCGATGATACCGTTTGCGTCTTCGCGGGTATGGCCCGGAGTCAGACCTAGAATACCGCGCAGATGAGGTACCACAATGAATGTCAAGAAATGATAGCCGCATACCGAATCCGTTGTGGTTTGGATATCGCGCTTCCTAAAACAACTTTGGTTCGCACCCTCAACAAGCAGGGGGACGAAGCATCACCACCCTGCCGAACTAGGAAGCGAAGACGTGCCGAAGCAAGGAATTGAGCAACAATGCCAGATATAGAGCGCTCAAAATTTATTCTGCTGTTGTTCTGCGGCTCAAATTTGTTTCCTTTTTATGTTAAGTTTTATTTTCAACGACATGGGGACGAGTTAAAACTATCTTTTTTCATATCCTTGTGACATGGAGATAGTAATGACACGTTAACACTATCTTTTTCCATATCCTTGTGACATGGAGATAGATAGTAATGACACGTTAACACTATCTTTTTCCATGTCATTGTGACATGGAGATAGTAATGAAACGTCAACACTATCTTTTTCCATATCCTTGTGACATGGAGATAGTAATGACACGTTAACACTATCTTTTTCCATACCCTCGGGACATGGAGATAGTAACGGTGAAAGGGGTTTTTGTACATTTTTTGGTACACCCTATTTTATTTTATTTTTTTTCAGTGTTCTTGGGAAAACACTGGCGAGGAGAGAGTCTTATGACTTATTGTTGCTGTCAGCTTTGTTCAAGAAACCAACGGAAACCACGCGACGTGTGGATACGTTTTACGGTTTCAACAAGCGAACGACAGATCGATTTCACCGGCCCCCATTTATTTACGTTGTGTCCACTCCTTGGTTCTCGGCTATATCTTGAGTGAGTTTTCGACGAAGATCCATTCAAGTAAAAAAAAAGACGGAATCAAGATATTAACACGGTTGGCCACGCGACCAATTTTCCGTGATTGTTTGTCATTGTGCGACATTTTTTTTTTATTGCACTATCATCCAGCAAGCGCCTGATCCACGCGTGCTATGACGAACAGTGCATGAGTAAAATGAGTTACCAGTTTCCGTGACACATCGGTAAACTGTTTTGTAGCCAAAAAGTTTTTTTTTCCCAGGCATGGTATATTAAGCAATCAGTTTCAAACTGTTTTGTAGCTGAAACCATGTTTGCTATTCAACTGCGTAAACACAATCTGGGTATGGCCACCCTAGAATATATCTGAACGGAAGAAATTCTTTTCTGTCAGAATCATGCAGGAGATAAAGCATCTTTTATTTTTAGTTTGACTTCTGTACTTTTGCTATGGACCACATATTCAACAGAGCTTGACGAACTCGTGTTTTCTCAACACGGAAAATCTGACTCAGACACGGTTGAAGATGTTGCAACACAGTATGACAAAACTTCCAACACCTGTTTCCATGTATATCGTCCAAAGCCTCTAGAAACGCCAAAACGCATCCTTAGCAAAGATGAATTTGTGGCGCATAAAGGGGGGGGTGATGTGGATGACAGGTGTAGAAGTGCTGTAACCGTTGTTGTTGCACAAACAAAAGTAGGACCAAGATACCATCCGAACGGAGGATCTTACTGATGGTTGATCAGCAGGAGACCCGACTGTGGATGCGTCCCTCTTGGCGCCACCTGTGGAGCTTGGGAATCCGAGACCCTCGGGCTTGGTCTCCCTCGCCCCTTCGGCGGCACTCTCTCTCTTGTCTCTCTCTTCTGAGACCCTCTCCTCTCTAAATCTCGACGAAGAGAACGGCCAGCCCTTAGTAGTGGGAAAAGACTACTGCGACCTGGGCCTCCCCCCCAAACGAGGGAAGCCTGTGTCCTCAAATCTCCCAACATTTTTCAAGACAAACGATGCGGCGCATCCTGTTTCACCCCAAACATCGCCGACTCAAGCCTCATTCTCCACGGCAATCGACTCCGCTTGGTCGAAATACATACAGAGGACACCACTCTCGAGGTCATCAGACCTAATTTCGTTCTAGGACGGTCGTCCCGACTTGGGACTGGCCGTGGCTCGTGGCAGCCTCATGCAGGTAGACCGCACAATCGAAATCCGAGGGGAAGAGAGGGAAGTGAGACTGCAGCAGCGGAAGAAGCACAGCCGCGGGACACTGCTAATCAGCCAGCTGTTGAGAAAGGGTACCACCGAGGCAGCTGGAAAACCCGTGCAATGTGTGGTTGCTGATGAAGTTGAGCTCCTCGAAAAGGGTAGAGAGTATGTTGAAGGCATCCGAGAGAGAGCATCGAAACGCGGGAAACGACAGCCTGCTGCTGCTGCTGCTGCTTCATCTGCTGCGGCGAAGAAGGCGAAGCTCAAGGAGGCGGACGCAGCTCTCTCCGACCCTCTAGCATTGGCTCATGATGGCGGGACCAGAAGCGGTGCTACCCCAGAGACTTCGAGGGAGGAAGCGGTGAGTTTTGAGTCACTTCTGAGGTGCTGCTGAAAGGTGTTCCAGAGTGCTTGATTGACTGCTTTACTTTGCGCGCCAGTTCGTGCCAGCTGCTCTGTTCTTGAATTTGAAATTTGGTACACGCGCTGCCCGTCCTCTTTGCCCCCAAGAATTGAGGTCCATTCCACCACGTCGATATCTTAAGCACAGAAAGCGCATTAAAAGTTGCACGGGTTTGGCGACTGCTGTAACTGCTGCAATGACGCTGCTACTGTGGTGTTTATTTGTCGCTCACTCATATATTCCCCCGACTCCTCCAATAACTACTGATACGTCGTGCGCAGGATGCGGAGGAGCGTCGCTCTAGCGCGATGGATTTGATGCAGAACGACCCCGTGTTGATGGAGCGAGTACGGGCCATGCTGGATGCTGGCGCGGCAGAGCAGGCAGCAGCTAAGGTGGCGGCGATCGACGCGGCCAACACTCGTGCACTCCGCGCGTCGTTGCAAGCGCTGAAGCAGCACTGCAACAGCTCGACAGGGTGGACCACTTACCAGACAGCGCTCGCTGTAGCAGCCGGAGCGGGAGAGCACACGTGTACTGACACGGACGTGTGCCACCCCGGCCAGCGGTGCAAGCCCGTTGAGTCTGGCGGAGTGAGCCTTGCCGAGCGAGCCAACAGTCTCGGCATTCGGCACGAGACTTTCAGCGACGCACGGTGGCGGATGCACAACACGAACCACGACATCGCCCCCAAGATCGCTGTGAGTGAGGGATGCTACGTGTACAACGAGCGCAAGACACGGAGTGACGTGACGAATCCCGGGAACAGAAAAGGAGCAGGGGGAGGTGCAGGATACCTATAGTTATGTGTGGGCTACTAGTGTGGGGGTACAGACAGACGATTTTGTGGTGGGAGCGGCCGGAGACAAGTTGTTGACGGNTCCGGCACGAGACTCTCAGCGACGCACGGCGGCGGATGCACAAGACGAACCACGACATTGCCCCCAAGATCGCTGCGAGTGAGGGATGCTACGTGTACAACGAGCGCAAGACACGGAGTGACGTGACGAATCCCGGGAACAGAAAAGGAGCAGGGGGAGGTGCAGGATACCTATAGTTATGTGTGGGCTACTAGTGTGGGGGTACAGACAGACGATTTTGTGGTGGGAGCGGCCGGAGACAAGTTGTTGACGGCTAGGAAGTGGGCGGTAGACGAGTTCAGGGCGAGGAAATGGGGTGCCCCCAACAAGTTCACCAGATCTTGCAAGTTGCGGGTTCGGGGCGCATCGTGCTACTGCTCGACTTGCCGAATAGGCTGCTACGATGACTGCATGGTAGCGAAGGTTTACCCCGACTTGGTTGGCGAGGTGATGGAGAAGTCGGGAAAAGAGATGGTTGGGAGACGCACGCTTGGGACTCAATTGACCGGCGTTACTCTTCCGGTCATATCTTCGGACGAGTCCCCAGTGGCGCCTACGCTTGACCAGAGCATGGGGGAGGTGGAGTGGGGAGGGGAGAAGGAAGATGAGGGAGAGGAGGAGGACGAGGAGGAGGTGGAGGAGGTGGAGGAGGGGGAGCGGGAAGAAGCGCATTACTCAAGCTCAAGAGGCCGCGTACGTATCGCGAAGAAGAGGTTCCCGGAGGTGGGTCAGGGATGGATGGATGTGTTGGCTGTCAACCACAAGAATGGAACTCGTCGACGTTTGTTGTTCTTCTTGCTTTTTCTAGTGTGGTATCGAACGCAACGTTTGCAAGTATTATGCCCTACCCTTTACTCTTGGTACCCATTTTTGTCCCCGGGGGGGACACAAATTTCGTGTACCCTGGTGGGAAGTGGCCAGTAAAGTGTGCAAAAACTGTAGGGTTTGTTCTACCAGAACAGCGGTCTGAACAGCGCATAAAATGGGCATGATATGGGGAAATCCCCGTTTTGTCCCCGGGGGGGGACACAAGTTTCGTTTCCCCTGATGGGAAGTGGCCAGTTAAGTGTGCAAAAACTGTAGGGTTTGTTCTACCGGAACAACGGTCTGACAAGCGCATAAAATGGGCAAGATAAGGGGAAATCCCCGTTTTGTCCCCGGGGGGGACATAAAGTTCGTGTCCCCTGGTCGAAAGTGGCCAGTTAAGTTTGCAAAAATTGTAGGGTTTGTTCTACCGGAACAGCGGTCAAAGAAACGCTTAAAATGAGCAAGATATGGGCAAATCCCCGTTTTGTCCCCGGGGGGGAACAGAAAGTTCGTTTCCCCTGATTTGCGTTTCCCTATACATTGAGTAAGACAAATCACCAGGTTTCGCTGAAAACCCACCTTCCCGACCCCGGATTAAAAATCTGAGACCGAATATCGCATCTACACACCGACAGCAACCCACAACTGAATTTTCAGAGCTTAGGTGGTTTGGCAACATTATCAATCTCAACCCCTCTCCGGCATATACCGGAAGAAGGCGCCCTGTGCGGGAAGCTCCAAAGATCGGTGATGCAAACGGACCGCGGATTGACTTGCATTGCGTCATCACTCGCTTGTTGTGCTGCCGACAGCAGGCAACGGGCTGTACGAGTCATACCCAACGGGCCTCCATTGGCCTGCAGCAGTCCGTACACCGCTGTGCTGGTTGTATCGCATGTTGTCTACGTGATAGGATTTCGGTGATTCTGCCGAGAGCGTCGTGTACATCGCCCAATCATCTGTCTGTCTTACAAAATGTCTTACAAACTCGACGGGTGATTGGTGGGAGATGTGCATCCACCCGGCTTTACCCCTCTGAAACAAAGATAATTGTTGGAAGTTCTTCCGTGTCTTACAAAAAATCGCCCTGTTGATGGATGCCCTGCCCAAAATCCCGGCTCCTTCTTGTTGTCACGTTGTCGGGGAAATCGCCTCCTCCATATATAGACTATATATATGTTCAAGAAAAAAGGATTCCGTGAAATGTTCCGTGATATTTTGGTCGTTAACAATACCCCTAAAGCCACAAGCACCAATGCCAAACCTCAGCGGAAAAACGTAAAACCTATTGCTACATTGCTCAATGACATCTTAAAGAGGGCGATCAACCAACCAAGCGGAAGGTCAAGCAGTATCTCAACCACGCGCGGTCCGCCGTTTCGAGAGACACTGGACCAAGGCATTTTTTCGCTACTCCTTCACAAGAAACCCCCTCCCAGCAACAGGATCCCTTCTGTATCAAGTTGCTGTCAGCACCGCGGCGCGCCAAAGCCACAAGCACCAATGCCAAACTTCCGCGGAAAAACGTAAAACCTAACGCTACATCGCTCAACGACATTTCAAAGAAGACGATCAACCAAGCGGAAGATCAAGCAGTATCTCAACCACAAGCGGTCCGTCGCTTCGAGAGACACTGGACCCAGACATTTTTCGCTACTCCTTCACAAGAAACCCCCTCCCAGCAACAGGATCCCTACTACTGTATCTAGCTGCTTTTAGCGACGGGGCGCGTCTACAACCCCGATCACCATTGTCGATCACATGACAGTGAAGGGGTGCCCCCCTCGGTCTGTATATCAATGAAAGATCATATTAAAGGGCAATCAACCACATGATAGGGGAAGGTGCCCCCTCACAGCCTACACATCAATCAGAGGACGATCGAAGCAGCATATCAATCACAAACAGTTCATCCACCAGCCTGTTGGTACAGTCGACCCCGCTTTGAGGACGCTCGCGTTAACGAAACTCCCCTTGTTTTGCTGAGCACCGGGGGCCCGGTAGAATATATGATATGGGTATCCCATTTTTCTGCCGCGCACCCCCCCTTTGTGTCCTGCGGACCTGGGGGCCGCTTTTTGCACATGTTCGTATATGTCCTTTACTTGGAAGGGGAAGACGTTTTATCTCTTGTATTAGGCACGCAAGGGGAGTAGGGAGAAGTGAAGCCCTCTATGGAGTTCGAGGGGTCCCCGCACATGCAACCTTTTCAAGGTGTACATATGCCCCATCTGCGTGCCCTCTGTTGTTACCGGTAGATCCAACCTGTCCGTATCCAAACACACGAACACCCTCCCCGGTTTGCACGCGAATGGCAAACCTAACGTGGGGCATGGATACCCCTGATCTACCAAAGGGACTCAAAACAGCAACAGGCTCGCGGGAAAACCCGGCGAACCGGATCAAAAACCCTCGTCTAACACCCTAAATATAGAAAACCGTCGCTATTACGCAGGATACCAACGCCCGCACTTCCAAGACAAGACCAAGGCAGGACAGATTGATCCGGTCGAGCTGATTACTCACCCGAAGCAACGCTCTCGGCGTTTCTAGGCTCCAGCCGCGGGTGACGCGCCGGCACAACGCTTCCTGCGTGACGTACCATGGTCATAGACTATATGCCAAGCGCTAAAACCACCACATAAACCAAACAGAACAAGAGAACACTACATCGGTAGGTTCATCAGAGCCTTCCGGTGGAACTCTAACTTCTCTCTGCCAAGGACCTTGGTCAGCATGTCGGCGTGGTGCTCTCCAGTCGGAACATACTCGGCAGTGATCTTGCCCGACTTGAATAGCTCGCGAATGAAATGGAACCGCACGTCGATGTGCTTGCTCCTCGCTGAGCTGAACGGGTTCTCGATTAAGGCGAGAGCCCCCTTGTTGTCCTCAAGGACCTTGATCTTCGCCTCACTCGTCTCGGGCGCTATGAACGACAGAACGCCATGCACAAACAACGCCTCCTTCACGCCCTCCCCGGCTGCCATATACTCTGCTTCCGAGGTCGACTGAGCCGTCACTGGCTGCGTCTTGGTGGATGCACACACTACGGTACCACCTACGGTCACAGCTAGCCCGGTCGTAGAACGCTTGTCTACTTCGTTGTCAGCGTAGCTGGCATCGACAAACACGCTTAGGTCTAGTCCTGACCCCAGTACGTAGGTGATGCCGAAGTCCTTCGTGAAGTTCAGGTAGGATATGATCCGCACAAGCGCGTTCCACATCCTCCCGGGTGAGTGGCCGATCTTCTGGAGCTTGTTCAGAGGCAGGGCGATGTCTGGCCTCGTCAGCTTTGTCCACATCAGGCATCCGATCGCCTCCCTCACAGGCTTATCCACCGCGGGCTCGTCATCTCTCTTCGGCCCTAGGTCGGCATCGGTGGCAGCAGGGGTGAAAGCGGTCGTGGTCACATCAAACCGCTTCAGCATACTCTCAATGTATGCTGTCTGGGACAGCTTGGTGATGCCATTTTTTTTTCATCCATGGCGATAGCACACCCANGCCGAAGTCCTTCGTGAAGTTCAGGTAGGATATGATCCGCACAAGCGCGTTCCACATCCTCCCGGGTGAGTGGCCGATCTTCTGGAGCTTGTTCAGAGGCAGGGCGATGTCTGGCCTCGTCAGCTTTGTCCACATCAGGCATCCGATCGCCTCCCTCACAGGCTTATCCACCGCGGGCTCGTCATCTCTCTTCGGCCCTAGGTCGGCATCGGTGGCAGCAGGGGTGAAAGCGGTCGTGGTCACATCAAACCGCTTCAGCATACTCTCAATGTATGCTGTCTGGGACAGCTTGGTGATGCCATTTTTTTTTCATCCATGGCGATAGCACACCCATCGTACCAGGTACACTCCCCCAGATCTTTCACCGGAAACTTCTTGTTGAGGGAAGCGAACAACTCCTCTCACTCTCCCTCGTCTGCCGCCACGAAGATGTCATCAACGTAGATCACGATGAGACCTACGACCTCTCCTGCCACCAACTTCCGGAAGACACACGGGCCAACCCTGCACTGCTCGTATCCACTCTCGATGAGGACATCGGCAGCTTCAAACCCCCACTAACGGCCACTCTGCTTTAGGCCATACACGGCACGCTCAACCTTGACCACCTTGCCGGACATGCCNCACTCACGGCCACTCTGCCCTAGGCCATACAGGGCACGCTCAACGTTGACCACCTTGCCAGACATGCTACCACAGCCTTCCGGGAACCTGAGGTATATTTCTTCTTTTAGCTTAGCATGGATGTACGCTTGCTTCACATCCCAGTGAGCGAGTTTCTTGCCCTGTTCAGTGGCTACGGCAATCACCGTCTTGATAGACGCTGCAGACGAGCACGCTGAGGATGAGTGGTGGAAGTCGATGCCGGGGACTTGAAAGAAACCCCGCGCAACAGTACGGGCCTTGAAGTCGACTATCAGGCCCTTCTCATTCGTCTTCCAAGAGAACACCCACTTTGAACCTATGGCCTTCCGCCCCTCGGGCAGCTCCTTGACCTTGGTAAAGGTTCCAGTCTTGTCGTGGCCATCTATCTCTTTCTTCATGGCCGCCTCCCAGAAAATCTTGTACTTGGAACACATCACATCCTTGTACGTCATCGATACTGCTTCCACATCACTCGGCTTCTGCCCGATTGGCGAGGTCATACTTAGCTGTGGGTCTGGGAGTGGTTGCGAAGACCCGCTGGCGTCGACCTCGGCCCCGAACGCCTGCTGTTCCGGGCCCAACACCCCCTGCATCTCGCGACTGTCCATCTCCTCCATACGGCGTGTCTGCTCCTCGTCCCACTACTCCTTCACAAGCGAGTTGCAGATGTAGTCCTCAACAATCC